ATTTAAAGGTACAAATATCCGTCTATATCTATACAAATATCCGTACAAACAAGCATTAATTGACTTACCAAACGTCATTTTTTATATTAATTTAAAGGTACAAATATCCGTATATATCTATACACCCTCAATGTTATTTTAATAAATATATTTAAAAATACGGATATATCTATACACCCTCAATGTTATTTTAATAAATATATTTAAAAACTCTATGAATCAGTTGGTTTTGAAATAACCGATAAAAATGGTAATGCTATCTTTTGGATTTCGATACAATAAGGAGAATTTTTTGGAAGCTACATAAATTCGTACAAATATTTGTTTTTCTTTAAAATATAGATATATTCGTTGCATGTCGGTCTATTCCTTCTCCTTTCGATTCTGTCTCCCTTTGGTATTCTATGTGTACTCTTACGTGAAATAATAGTATCGATTAAACAAATTGTTGGAATTCCCAAAGTTCTTTAAAATATAGATATATTTCTTTAAAATATACATAATTTCCTAAAATCGCTCTTATTTATTTTCGATTAACAGCAATTGTTTACGAATAAATCATTTCACGCCAAGATTTCCGATTTTTTTTTTGCTACATTAACATAACATGGAGCATTGATTGCAATAGATATATACTATGGAATAAATCTCCTATTTTTAAGCCTCCATATAAATCTATAAATCATTTATATGATAAAATCGCAACAATATCTTTTTATTTAAATAATTTTAATCAAAGTAGCTCAGGGTGTAGTTCCTGCGAACTCTGGTCCGGGGCAAGAACGTGTTACCTCACCATTAAGGGGCATTTCTTTTTTTACTATTGGAGAAATCCTCAACGGCAGGATCACTTTTTTCGGTACCATCGTATATAAAAGGATATTCACTACCACAATTATTTCTTCACGTCATTCACAGCGTTCAGAGAAAAAAAAAAATTATACAGATAAATTTTAGAATACAACAATAATATCATGCCGTCGGTCTGAGATACACCCAATTCCGTGAGTAGGACAAACAAACCTTATTTGCGATTGAAAGCAGTCTGAATATTTGAAACGCATCACGAACGAGAGAGATGGAACGGATTCCATATACTGTTTCATGATGAACAGGTAAATGTTTTTATTAGTAATATCAAATTTATAAATTTATTTTATAAATTTATTTTTATTAGTATTCCGAATAATTTATTTTTTTGTGAAAATATATTTTAGTTAATATTTATAAATTTATTTTGTAAGGTGCATTTATTAAAAGAATAATACGTTCTACAAATATGTGAGCATTTCGAGGTGTACTGAACGAAGGCGAAGTGTATGCAATCAGCAACTATGTCGTTGAATTTAATCATGGGAAGAATCATAACCAACATATGGAAACTTGTACTTCACAAAAGAACTCGTGTTATCAAATATGGTGGGATTTTCCCTCAAAATGGTGATCTTTTCCCTCAACATTAGCAAGGAGCGTGAGATATTTATGATATTTTAGGGTTTGATAAGAATTCCAATTTACATTATGAATTTCATTGTTATTCCATGTCCTTCAAGGTTATTATTTGTAATATATTTATTGTTTTATTAATTTTATTATGTTTTATTGTCATTCCATGTCGTTGAATTATGAATTTTAGTGTTATTATATTTGTTATCGTGAGATGACATCTCTCATTCATTTCGATTAATGATTTATATGTTCAAAAATGCAACTGACGATCCAAGTTATTTAAAGGACAGAGCTATATTAGCGCCTACTTTGGAGGTTGTTGAGTCTATCAATCAATACATGTCGGATATGAATTCTGCTGAAGGTCGTACATATTTGAGCTCTGACAGTACGTCTAAGTCGGATTCCGGCAATGGCTTTTTGGTTGATCTCCACACACCCGAGTTCTTGAATAGCATTAAGTGTTCAGGAACGCCGAACCATGAGTTGCATTTGAAGATAGGAACTTCGATCATGTTGTTGCGAAACATGGACCATTCTATGGGTCTGTGTAATGGCACATCTTTGGTTGTTACGAAACTCTCTCCGCATGTTCTTGAATGCAGGATATTGACTGGAGATCACACAGGTGAGAAGGTGTTGATTCTTCGGATAAACATAACTCCTTCTGATGTTAGGGTTCCGTTTAAGTTCCAATGGAGACAATTTCCCCTTATGGTTTCCTATGCCATAACCATAAACAAGAGTCAGAGTCAGTCTTTATCACATGTTGGACTGTTCTTGAAAAAACTTGTTTTTAGTCATGGTCAGTTATACGTCGCTGTTTCACGTGTTACTAATAGGAAGGGGTTGAAAATATTAGTTTGTAGGGACGATGAGTTACCCAGTAATCAAACTAATAACGTTGTATATAAGGAGGTTTTTAATAATGTATAACCTTTTTACCAATGACGATTTTATGTTTACTTTATGAATGTCATACGTATTATAATAACTTATTAATTAATGACCTTTTAATTTTTTAAAATTTTCCAAAACATGTACTAGCCCGTGCATCGCACGGGTTACATACTAGTTTACTTGCTAATCCTTATGAATATAGTAAGACTTGTAGGTAAACATTTTTGTTAGAATATATTTGTATATATGGTTAAAATATATTTTGTATATATATACATATATATGATAACAAGAGGCACATACGAGTTGATTTTTTACCCTCTTCTAAACTTCTACGCACAAATTATGGGTGGCAATGGTTGATAACACAAAATACGATAGAATGGGTCAAAAAGGCAATTATAAAGAGAAATAACATGATGCTTATATGGAGTATGACATAACTAGTCCAAAACATGCTACGAAAAATTAAAAAAATAAATAAATTAATTAATTAATAAATTAAACTTATAGTTGCTATAATGTTTCTAATCAAATAAAATAGATAATATAAAAACAAACAATAACAATTACAATTTATTGCTCCTTATGCAAATTACACAAACATTGGATTTTATTTTATTTTTATTTTTTAATTATGTTATGATTAAATTATTTAATTATGTTATGATTAATTAAAGTATGGAACAAAATTATTTTAGCATAAAAACTTTAGCAGCTATTTTTTTTTTTTTTTTTTTTTCTGCTATCTCATCTGAAGTACACTTGTTGATGAATAGGATTCAGTTTATGCAAAGGCTATTAAATATCAAGAAAATTGTCTCATCTGAAGTACACTTGTCATTTAGAGTCCCACAAATTGATCCTTAATTGTATATAATTTTTTTTACAATCAATGTAACCTGATAAGACTTTTTTCATATGGTAAATATGAAAAGTTCAACCAATATATATTTGACAAATTCAGCATTGAATAGACATCCATGGGTGGAAAAGTTATCATAGATGATGGATGATAAAAGTGTTGAGTAAAATTAACTGATAAGGTAGCCGAAATAAAATTTTCATTGAGCTTAATTGAAGTTACCAAAAGAAGTTTATGAGATAAATTTGAATTTTTTTTTTTAAAAAAAAAACTCGTCCTACCAAATCAAACATATTTGAATATATAAAGTTTATAAGTTATAAGCTATCAATCACAACCTATGACTTATGGTTGAAAAGCTAGTTTATATGACATAAGTGTTTGGTAATTTAAGCTTATAAGATAGCTGAAATAGAAATTTCAATTGCCTTATTTGAAAAGCGACCCATGGAAGTTTATGATATAAGGTCGAGCTTTTTAAAAAGCTCATTCTACTAAGCCAAATATATTTGAATACATGAAATCTTGTCTTCGATCTTGTTGGTCTTGGTTGCTTGATCAGGTTCGATGTAATTGACGAGGCAATTACTGACTAACTTATATGGTTACCAAACACATCTGATATACCTATAAGTTCCGATTACTGCAAGAAATGATGAAATTCCAATGGAAAAATATTCCAATGAAATTTCAATAGCAATTCCAAGGGATACTTTAATGTTACTATTTTCGCTGAAATTTTTCAATAGATTCCAACAAAAATATTTATTTTGAATGAGTTTTGTATAGAAATTTCCGTTAAATTTTAATGATTCCAACAATATATTTTCCAACTATTACAATATAGGTAGAAATAAAAATTCTAACAGAAATTGCATTTTCCAGCGAAAAGTCATACGATAAAAGCCATTGAAAAAATAATGTTAGAATAATCAAATTACAACGGAAAACTCATTCCACATGAATATTTTCGTTCGAATTTCCATTAGAATCGTTTCAATAAAAGCTATACTAATGACATACCCGTTTGAATTTCTATTGAAATATATTGCAATAAAATTTTCCGTTCAAATGTGGCAATTTTTAGTAGTAGATAATATCATCAGATGTAATATTATGAAATTACTGAAAAATAGTGCAAGAAAAATCAAAAGCGCATAATTAATGAAGGCTCAATTTGAGCTTTTCTTTTTGTTCCTTTTTTTTTAGAAGATCAATGTTCTCACTTTCCCTTCGCGGTGACCAATCTCGTGACCTACTCGACCTGTCGGTCATAGGTGAAACGTCCTACCACAAAACTGCATTTCGTTGTCTAGGCTCGATTTGAGCTTGACAAAGGTGAATATAAATATTCAAGAATCAAAACTAATCATCATTTCTCAAGAGAATTTACCATCCAAGTCTCACAGGATAGATAGTCAAAAGGATTCATGCAAGCACTTTCTAAGCATGATGCAGTTGGAATGTATCACGTGTTAAACACATAAGGAACAAAACAGACAAATCACAAGTGAACCTTAAAATAAATCAAAGCAACAGAAATATCACATTTCTCGGTTCTGTCATTTATATTCCACCGGATTTCTGATATCAACAACTCACGAAGCAAACGCAGGAAAAGGGGGAACACAGACGAGCTAGTTACAAATTTGCATGCAAGTCGGGAAACTTGAAAATAATAATGGAAACAAACAGGGTCATCTCACGGGACCTGCTTGTTCAGCTGATGTTTTGCTCACATACAATAAAACGATTGCAAAGTCGAAAAATCTCATGCTCTCACAAGTCAGTCGTAAAGTCCCTCTTGCTCCCACACATCCACCAGAAAATCCACCATTTCCTGTTGATTGCAACCCTCATTTAAAGTTCTCACAATACAGAAAAGGGAGACTAAAATAAACTCTTGGTTAATGACACATTTACCCTTGAGATTCAGCCTAATTACGAAAATGGCTTAGCTTCTTTGAAAATTTCTAATGCCCCTTTTCTCACCTTTTTGTTTTCTGTTATAGTTGTTCAGTATATATGATTTTTGCAAATATTGTAATTTCAAGAGCTTTTTTTTTTCCCAAATTAGGCTAAACCTCGGGAAGTTTCTGTAATTTAAGCTAATAAAATTTTATGGGGTAACATACTAACCGGCAATGGAATCGGCTGTGGGAATGGTTTGTTGGTCCCAAGCAAACTCTCGTAAGTTGCATTCCAACTACAAGTAGTCGAGCAAAATAGATATGACAGACAGCTTAAGAGCAAAAATGTTATGCAAATTTTCATTGTTGCCTATGACTCATCTATTGCTACACGAACCAAATAGAAAATGAGAATTGTACCTCAACTTGGGTTCTCGCACTTGTTCGCCCTTTTGAGATCCTTTATTTCCAATCCATTGCTGTCGTGTTTGATTCCACAGAAGAAAACCTTTGAAAAGAGAAAATATGAAGATCCATCAGAGTTAGACAAAAGCCAAAATTAGGGTGCAAATCAAAAGGAGAGGACAATGATGAATAATGTAACTTAATTCTCAAGTTTACGCAAGCCTCTTTCATATACACTTGTATTCATATTTGATAAAAAATATAACAAGATGGTGAACAACAAGTGGACGATAGTGAACAATAGGAAAATAACTGATGAATGGAGGAATAACATTACAAAAAGGATTAATTAAAAAAATAGAGAACAATCTATAAAGAGACTGGTTAATCCAGTCGGACCATAACTGATGATTGGAGGAATAACATTATGAAAAGGATTAATTCAAAAAGAACAAAAAAAATCGAAGGCTATTTACACAAGTTCCACAAGCTCAAGAATATTTTGGTATTAAGCCTAAAGTGATAAGATAGCATGAAATCACTTGCCATGATTTACAAATTCAGAAGAGTTGCTCGGCCCGTCAGCATTACTCTGACTATCTAAGGTTTGGTTTGAAGTACTGATTGATGAGATGCTTCTGTGGGAAGGAAAAGCACTGTTATCCATGTCTCCTGACGTGTGGCTCCAAAAATCCTCCGTTATACTACGCTTTTTTACGCGATGTCCTTGAATTTTGAGCCCTTTAGATGGCTCGTCCACAGAAATCACAAGTGGTGGCTTGGAACAACATCCGAGACAACCTCTGCTCTGTTACAAATTAGGTTTACCACCATACATACGATTAGTGTATCAAGTAGAAATGGTTAATATATAGTAACATCACAATAATTTTTTTTTTTTTTTTTACAGTATAATTCCATAAAATTAAAACTAGGGTAAAAATATATACGGAAAAGAAAATTATTCGAAGAAAAGATAAGTGCAAGGGATGTCAGGCTCAAGAAATAAGAATAAGGAGAGACAGAATTAAGAACAACATAGCTAGAGCAATAGTTAATACAACAAACAGATGTGTGAAGTGTTTGGCAGTTGACTTTGTAATCAAGATAGTGAAATATCAATTTCAAGACATTAATGAAGCTTCAACTTCCAGAAATCGAGAAAAAAAGGCAGCACAAAAGATCAGGTAAATAAAAGGCAAGCAAGAAATGATTTAAGGCAGAGGAAAACTGAAGTAAACAAAAAAGCACTTGACTCGAACCAATCAAAGCAAGACAACCTCATACGCGAAAGATATCTCTGCATTTACATTTTAAACCATCAGTAATTAATTTGAGTAGTGCTCGAAAGTAACTCCAAATGCACCCCAAGAGAGAACACACCGGCCATGTCTCAAAACAAGTTTCCGTTCGTGTTACTAAACAACATTCACTATACATATCTAGTAACATTTCTAATATCACTTCTTTGTCTTCAATAGGTGCCTTTTCAAGTTGATGCTACTAGCACAATGCAGTTATGTATGATTCAAAAAGAGTCACTCGAACAATCTCTTTACCCCAAGTAGCAAAGCATGTCGTACGAAAGATGGAAATAAAAAAATGGCACTTTCAGTTACCACACACTGTTGCTGATTGATTCAAATGCAAGCGAAACCCAAGATTCCAAACCACTAAAAGCAGAACAAAACTAAAGCAAGCCAAACTCCAAACAACCAAATTTATTCCTCATGTTGGCAATGGCATATGTTCCAGAAAAGAAACTTGATAGCTCGTCCAATAAACAAACAACTAAATGAAAATTTGCCATCAAAACTCACAACCAAAGCTCTTTTCGCCAGGTGACTAACCGATGACAAGTTCATGTGTAACCGAACCATAGCAGTTGTACCTTGTGCTACTCTAGTTGTACAGACTGAGAAATCAGTCAATCAATCAATCGATTTTACCGATTTTACCACTAACCCACACACAAAAGCACGCACTCATACCGGGAGAAGGTAAAAGAACTGACCCCATGCATGCGAGTAGCTCAGAAATCCAAGAGGGGACCGATCTACACCAGTACTTCATTAACAGATGCTAAAACTATAATCTCATCCAGAAAAATCATTCATTTCTTCAGACCCAGATCTCAATAACCCCTTAGTTAGGGGGAAATAAAAAATGGGAGCCGCCCAATTATCCTGCAAAGAGAGATAACACACACACACACACACACACACACACACACACACACACACAAAATCCA